AGACAGAGAAACAGAGAGAGAGGCAGAGAGAGACACAGAGAGAGACAGAGAGACAGGCAGACAGAGAAACAGAGAGAGAGGCAGAGAGAGACAGAGAGACAGGCAGACAGAGAAACAGAGAGAGAGGCAGAGAGAGACAGAGAGAGAGACAGGCAGACAGAGAAACAGAGACAGAAAGAGAGAGGCAGAGTGAGAGACAGGCAGACAGAGAAACAGAGACAGAAAGAGAGAGGCAGAGAGAGACACACACAGAGAGAGACAGACAGAGAAACAGAGATAGAGAGAGATATACACAGAGAGAGAGAGAGGCAGAGAGAGACACACACAGAGAGACACAGAGAGAGAGAGACAGAGACAAACAGAGAGAGGGAGAAAGAGAGACAGAGAGATAGAGGGAGAGGGAGGGAGAGAGAGACAGAGAGAGATAGAGCGAGAGAGAGAATATATGTGTGTGTGTCATCCATCCACGTCAGTTACTTCACCTTCTCTCTTTTTTGGCAGAGATAGTGCAGCCAACTGAGCCATGTTTAAGCCCGGGATGAAGCTGCCCATTGGCCTGGCGGCCGGTGGCAGCGCCACCTTCGTCCTGTCCATTTTCCTGGGCTGGTACGGCTTTCCCAAGTTCCTCGACGGCCAGATCATGGGGGTAAGTGGATCCGTGGTATCATATCCGCACGTTTGCTTGAGCCTCGGAATATCTACTCCCACTCCTTCCTCAACATTAATTGCATTAAGAATAAATGACAGCAATGAGAGTTGTAGACAAAATCTGGTGACGAGGAATGTTCGACCCCGTGAATTAAAAACAATTTTGCAGGGAAAAATTAACTACAAATTCGGCTTAAAATTCCTTTTTTCAAAATAACTAAACTCCCAACTCCTCTCGCATCTAGCGAAGCGAGGGCTTAAGAGAACGTGTGCGAATAATATTAATCGCCCATTAATATTAAGTGTTCCTAGTGGTCGAAGGCAGTTTGTCGGGAAACAACAAGAAACTGTTTTACTCGTAAAGTATGCCGTTGAAATTTTTTTAAAAAAGTTGTTCATCTGCTTTAAGCTCCCCAATGTCAAACTTTACGAAACTGAGGTAAATTTCTTAATGATGGTCGTTAGAACATAAATGTTGTAATAAATCTATTACCATATATTAACAACTGCTATCAGTTTCGCGGTATGTACATGGCTTTCTATTACCCACAATCAAAAACAGCGTGTCACCTCTCACAGATGAATCGTCGAATTTAAAAAGTAAATTATATTGTAACTTTGTAACTTTGTACGATATTTGCGTTGTGCAGTTATTGTAGTCAATGAATGATATAACAACCAATAAAATCATCTCAACGTGTTATGTTCAGAAATTTTTGCTTAATATGCAAAATGTGATGCTTAACAAATTCTAAAAAATATAGCAAATAGAAGTTGAGAAAATATTAACAGGGTGGGTAAGGGATAATGGTAACAGTTCGAATCGTAATATCTTATTACCATATAAGTTTGGTTATCAAACACAGCCTGTCTTGTTTGATAATTCTTCAATTTCTTATTATAATTACACATCTTACGATACGTATTGCGTAATTAACTATTAGTTAATTGTAGAATCACGTTTTATTATAATTTTAAGAAGCTAGATATCACAATGTTTTATTACCCCTGTTAATATTTTCTCAACTTTTATTTGCTATATTTTTTAGAATTTGTTAAGCATCACATTGTTGCATATGAAGCAAAAAGTTATCGTTATTGTAAAACATTAATAAATAAACTGCTGTATCTGTTATTAAGTTTATTTCTGAACATAACACGTTGAGATGATTTTATTGGTTGTTATATCATTCATTGACTGCAAATAACTGCACAACGCAAAAAATCAGGTGTTGAAATAAATGAGTTGATAGTCTTCACCTTGTACTGAAACGTATCATTCCTGCATTGACACTTCTGCCTTTTGTTGGAGAAATACAATACACTACTATAAGATATGCTACTGGAAGATAGATCATACGGCAATTTTAGAGAGTGCGTGAACTCATAATTCGTATACATTTTTTTAGTTGTGCCACTATTGCAGACCACGAGTGACACAAGGCATGTGTGTGATTCGCAGAGCAAGATGCTGAAGGGCGGAAGTGACACCCGCATGCTGTGGGCGTCCTTCCCTGAGCCGCTTGACTTTCGGGTGTACCTGTTCAACGTCACCAACCCAGACGCTGTTCACGCAGGTGCCAAGCCCATCATGCAGGAAGTGGGGCCGTACTTCTACGGGTGCGTTCACCATTTATTCTTTACAAAATAAATAAAGTGGGAAGTGGGGACCGTAATTCCTAACGAGGTGCGTTCTCCACTCCATTGCTTAACAAAATAAATACAAGTGGAAGTGGGGTTTTTGACGTAATTCTAACGGGTGCGTTCTCCAACTCATTCTTAGCAAAATAAATAAAGAGGAAGTAGGGCTCGTAATTCTACGGGTGCGTTCCTCCACTCATTCTTACAAAAATAAATAAAGAGGAAGTAGGGCCGTAATTCTACGGGTGGTTCTCCAAACTCAATTCTTACAAGATAAATAAAGAGGAAGTGGGGCCATACTTCTACGGGTGCGGTTCGCAAATGTTCATTCTTACAAAATAAACATAAAGTGGAATGTGAGACGTAATTTAACGGGTGCGTTCTCCCACTCATTGCTTACAAAATAAATAAAGAGGAAGTGGGGCCGTACTTCTACGGGTGCGTTCACCACTTTCATTCTTAGCAAATAAGATAAAAAGTGGGGGGCTGTACTTCCACGGGGTGGCGTTCAATTCATTCCTAGCAAAATAAATAAAGAGGGAAGTGGGGCCGTACTTCTACGGGTGCGTTCGCCATTCGTTCTTACCAAAATAAATAAAGAGGAAGTGGGGCGTACTTCTACGCGGTGCGTTCGCCATTGTTCTTACAAAATAAATAAAAGAGGAGTGGGTGGTCCGTACTTCTTACGGGTGCGTTTCACCATTCATTCTTACAAAATAAATAAAGAGGAAGTGGGGCCGTACTTCTACGGTGCGTTCCTGCCATTCGTTTCTTACAAAATAAATAAAGAGGAAGTGGGGGCGCGTACTTCTATCGGTGCGTGCACCATTCATTCTTACAAAATAAATAAAGAGGAAGTGGGGCCGTACTTCTACGGGTGCGTTTCGCCATTCGTTCTTACAACAATAATAAAAAGGAAGTGGAGGCCGTACTTCTACGGGTGCTTTCGTCATTCGATCTTTTAAAATAAATAAAAACATGTGTACTCTTGGGGAAACTCTTGCATGTTGAACTCCACTCTCTTCCCCATTCTTTCATTTCCATATTAAGCCCATAATAATAGCTTTTATTAATATGCTCTTATCCTCCGTCATTTGTTATACAGAAGTGATAAGGTCTAAGAGTGCTTCGTTTTGGAGTTATATAACTAGAGAATTTAAAAACGCTACCTGAGTGTTGCGGGTTGCGTTTGACACGAATATTTAGATATTTTGTATTTGAAAAGCCTTAATATTCTTAAAAGTTAAAGTGCAATTCATCAAGTCTCTGTGAAATTCTCTTTCATTAGAGACCTTATTTATAAAGATTGGTTGCGTGTGAAAGCCGCAAAACTCTCCTAGACTAGTGAAATAAATTGGAGAAAACTAATAAAAAATTAAATCAAATAAAATTATCTTTTTTATTGAGGACAACCTCATTCTGTATTCAATCGATGCCCTCAGAGAGTACAAGACAAAAGAGAATCTGGCTGACAACATGGCGAACGATACCGTGTCCTACAACCAGCGAGTGCGTTGGGTGTTCAACAGAGAGAAGTCGGGCGGACTCACCGGGGATGAAATGATCACAATGCCGCACCCGCTCATTGTGGTGAGTACGAGAGTGATACACAGATGAACAATAATGTCTAGTAATTAAATGTATTCCTGGCTATCCGGGATGAGCCGCGTCTCGGTCAATTGTATTGACGTTTCGGCGATCATGCCGTGGCATTCTTCAGAGCTATACTGCAGTATAGTCAGCTTCAGCAGTATAGCTCTGAAGAAGCCCAATTAACTGAGACGCGGCTCATCCCGGATAGCCAAGAATACATTGACTCCGGCCGCGGAAGCCTACGAACCCTAGTAATTAAATCTTGTTCTACTGCTAATATTAAAATGAGTTGTATTAAACTGAAATATATAACTAAGTTGTAGGTCAATTCTATTTATAAACTCAGCAGTTACCACAGATATATTGTGGACATCCATATTCACAGGTAAACGAGAAGTGATCTACAACGGATCCATTTCATTGTGGAAGATTATTTCCATTTTATACATTTAGGTGTATTGATGTAACGTACAAATTTGTTTAATATATCATTATTACTATTTACATCTTTTGATTTAATTGTTAGTTCATAGTTTACTTCATAATTTGAATTTTAGCCCGTATGTACATAGATAGGTAAATGTTATTACATATAAATCATAGTTTGATTAATTCATTGATTAATTAGTGATACTTGGTTCGCCAACTGCTAAGATTATTAGTCCAGTAAGTGTAGTGCCTGTTGTTATCGTGGGAGGTGGCAGTGATCTTCACTCATTAGATGCTGGGGGCCAACCTACCGGTCGGCGAGAGATGTTTTCCCTTACCAGGTATCTCCCCCAGAGGAGCACCGTCATGGCCAAGACAAGCTCTAAACTTTCGATCAGTCTCCCGGTATGTGTAGTAGTGAAGTGCATGTAAGTGTAAGGGATGGTAATAAGAAAAGGATGAGGAAGGAAGGTGCACATGTGGTCGTTAGGGTTTGTTAGGGTACTGACCTGGCATTGAATGGAAAAACCACTGAAAAGACCCGATCAGAGCAGCCGGCCGATACAACAAAATCTTGGTTTCATTAATCTATTTAAAATTTATACACAATAAGAGTCTGTTATAAATACTGAAATAGAGTACGTTATGTGACGTAACTAAATAAATTTGATAATATTTACTTGCGTGGAAGGGTTACGTTTCTCATAAACTTACTCTCAATACTCGAAATTACGTTTTCAGCTTTAATTTTAACCGTCAATTTTACTGTCTTGCTTGTGCTAGCAGGGGCTGCTTGTACACGTCTGCTCATCACTGTTGAATATGCTTAGTAGACTCCGTAGATAAAAGGGACCAGCTAGAAGCTGTAGTCCCTATTGGTGAATTAGTGAATTTAGACGCTAAATTAGATCTTTGTCTACTGGTTTCATCTCGACCGTGAAGTCTGTATCACCTCGACAATACCAGTCACAGAGGACGCAAATCAATTATAAAATTTGTGCTGAATATTTGTACTTCAAAACCGTAGAAAAAGTAGTCTTGTCGCGCATAATGGCTATTATTATAAGCTTGTTGAAAAATGTACCATTTTATTTAATTTTTTTCAGTAGAAAAACCTTCAATTAAACCATTACATGATAATGTTTCTTCGTTTTATAACATTCAAACAGTAAAATGATAGCAAGGTGTGCAGAAATATATTTTGCTGTCATTCATGAGCACAAAAATTAAATCGCTTGGATGGGAAATATTGTGAAGAAGCTCTCGAACTGATTACTAATTGTAGTGCTACTTCCCATGAACCTCCATTTTCATATCTAATGATCATATTTTTTAAAAAATAGTGGGGATAATCAGCATGCCTAAATTTTTCCTCCACTTAATATTATTTCTGAACAACTCATATTTTATACAAAACATCGCTTGACATCTTTTAACAATTTGTGGGGTAAATTGCATCGAGAAAGAAGTGTTTCGCATCGATATTGGAGGTGAATGTGGACTTTTCCGAAAATTATAAATTGTAGATGAAGTAATTTTATTTTGCATTGTATTATTTTGGCGTTTATGTACTGTTTTGAGTTAAATTTGGTGTCTATGTTTCATTAGATATTTTCTTGGTTTATTAGAGGAGGGGGTGCCAATTTGTTGTTTTATTGCTTATTGTTAGAGGGGTGGGAGATGCATGGGATTTGAGCGTAAAAATATTTGCGACGGATTTAGGTGGATTTAATTGAATTTTTAGTACGGTGTTCTAACTGTCGAGAAAGTCGAAGCCAACGAGCTTGAATATTCTTCATAGAGTGGCTGAAGCGTCTCCATCTTTGAAGCAAATTGAAGCCATGTTTTTTGCAGTCAAAGCAGCGCCCTAGTGAGAAACAGAGTATTCTAGTATTCCATAAGGCGCTGGTTAAGGCCAAATGCGCGTGGGCCGTGCATTACATAAATCTTCTTACTCTATGTTTCACGACCAAAAACCACTAATATAAAAACGAAATCACAGTATACAAGGAGAACGAATTGAGGAGCTTTAAAAACACGTTGCTTCCTGCATCGGTTACTTCATAAGAATATAGGCAGTTGAAATGTTTTTGCAATCAGCATAAAGTCTAAATGTGAATGTTATTGCAATAAGAAGCAAGTAAACATATCCCAAATACCGCGGCAAACTCGAAAAATGATATATTTATGGTTTGATGACTTCATTTTTTGTTATATGCAGAAAATACTAAAGGCATTGTGAATATTATTATTCTAACCACTAACATAATACAGATAAGCAAATAGACAACATAGAACTACGATCTTATACAGACAACACGCCAACATCAGGCATCTCTCATACGAAGATTGCCTTTTATGTTTCGGGATTTGGCAACCCTGGTGTTGCAATCTGGCAACTGACAGCTCTATCGTAAAGTTGGATGTATTGAAGTTGTACGTACTCACAACGTTTTGACATACGAGCGCTATTTGTGTTGTTTACAGTAACTTAAAAGATTCACCATGGCCCAAAAACGGAATTAAATCGTAAACATTTTCGTGCGATTATTATTTTTTACAAGTTTCGGCGTGGATAAACTCAGTAACAGCCGCTCGTATTATGACTGCAAATAAACATGGCGGCGTCGACCGAGTGCGCTGAAACCATAGGGTCAGCGCACTCTATATAGTTTATCCCAGTAGCTCGTTGGTCTTGGCGTAGTTGTGTTTTGTTTCTGATTACAATGAGAGAGTTGCCAGAGGAGAATATTGCTATCGTGGATTCCGTCTCTCGACCGTATTGCGCAAGAGGCAGTTGTTTGACCTTGAACAGCAAACCGTTGGGAACGTTACACATCGCCGGACATGTTCCCTGTGGTTTCCCGTCGAATGACTGACATCACCTCACCGACCTGCCGTGAATGACATGTGATTAGACAGTAATTGCACTACAATCTCAAGGCTCCAACTCTGATGCTGTATTTTTTGGCAAATATTAGGGTACCTAGTTTCAGTAAATTGCCTTTGAAGGAAGTAAATAGAATGTATTAATTTAGCTTATTATTTACTGATTCAATACAAAAAAAGAAGAAATCAGAATTTTTAGACAGCCACTAGTAAACACGGTTTCTCTTAAGATATATAGAGCGTGCTAGAGTTAAATTTCTAGCTTTATGGTAATAGTGAGACGATGCTCAAATGTTCAGGCAAAACAATATGACTGGGACAAAGAAAACAAAATACTTTCGTCTGACGAATCAGCTACTAAGGATCTTAACATAACACAGTACACAATTAATTCATTGGTATAATTGTATTAAAATCAAATGAAAATCAGTAAGCCGGATTAAAAAGAGTATGGCACACGTAGTAAAAATGATTTTATTTTGCTCGTAGGATTGCGACACTCGGTGTATCGGCCTCCTGTCGCAACCTCTTCTACTCCCAAAATAAAACATCACTTTTACCACACGTATCATACAAACTATTTTGGCTTGAATCAAAACAAGAAACTGTCTTGTATTAGTTCCGCAGGGCGAAAAGGCTAATGGAACTCCTAACATTGGAACCAGCTGTGAATACTGTTTTACAGTTGAATGGTAAATTTAGTTAAGATTTTTTTTATTTCGAAAACTAGTAATTTAATATCAAACTCTCAAAATTCGCTGATTTTAATTAATCTAGGGATCTATGCGAATAGGAAAACTTTCGTTTATCTCATTGTGTTATGAACGTATGTTTTGCATAATTTTATTTCGCGGCATATTCAATTTTATACTGGGGACGTCTGAAATAAAAGAACATAGTTTCTTCTTCGATGTAAATGGTTCCCTAGAGACAAGCCTTAAATTATGAAACATTTATTTAAAAATAAAAAATAAAAATTTAATTACCGTTTATACTTACAATTTAAACTAATGTCACAATAGTACTAAATTATACAAATTATCACATCCTATTAGTGTAAAACGTAACTACTGTATAAAATATTAACTTATGATCCGCACTTATTGTATTATCAGAAATTGTAACTTTTATTATAACGTTTCTTATAGTCCTGCAAATAATTAATTTAATTCAATAATTACATTGCAGCATTAGAGTTGTAAACCTTAATTTTTTTTAAAAAACAAGTGTTGTTAATGTAAATTTTATATTTCTTTAGACGCTAATAACCTATATGTTGATGAGACTTTAAAAATTTTTTTAATTGTCCCGTACAAGACAACTGACGCAAATATTTTATACATTTTTAAGTTAAGTAAAAATAGTTTATTTTGATAGAGAAGAATGTAAGATAAGTGACTTCTACACTAAAATTGTCCCGAAGGTAGTTCATTAGAGAACCGGTGCATAGAATGAAACTCGTCTTTGTCGGCAAAATAAAAGTCACTGCTCAGGATATAACTCATCCCCAGCGAAATAACAATTTTTCAGACTTTACAATAGTTCGCCCACGACATAGTTGATTGATTGACAGTTTTTTAGCACGTCATCTGCTATGTCTTTAGTCCCGTTACTGACGTGAATGTCTTTACTTTCTCTCTGCGGAGTGGAGAGAAAGTTATGTAGTGGTGTGCGAAAAAACAGCAAATTTTCAGAAGAAAACTCTGATTACATGGCTCTAGTAACGAAAAAGTAATCGAATTTCGATAAATCGAATTGCTAAATTTAGAAAAAAAATCCTATCACTTGGTGTAGACAGAAATAATTTTCCGTGGCTCCTTGATGCGAATATCGAATGTGAATATACTCCTCGAATTACAGCAAAATTTATGTTGCCCGTCCGTCTGTGAACAACTCTAGCGGCTAAACCGCTATGCCGATTTTCCCTCGAAATTGGTATTTCGCAATCAATCTGACTGGTGTTGCGACCCCCTGAATCTAAAACCAGTATTTCAATTTTGGGGGGTACTTTATATGAAGACCCTGGAACATTTCCAAAAAAACTTCTCCATCGTTTTTGTTTAAATGTTGTTGTTGTTGGATAGTGCAAAGGACGTTTAAAATAATGGTGCAGGTATCATAATCGTTACAAACCCTGATTTTTGAAAATTACAAAAGTTCAAACGTTTTGTCGGTGCCTTTTGACAACAACAATTATGAAGATAGATATTTTTCCCTTAATGAGTTCTGTTCCTTAAAGATAGATTTTGAAATAACATCATGTACAATTTTTCTAAAAGTGAGTTCTTTTCGCGAAATGTTGCGTGTAAGTACGACCGAGAAAGTGCGTGCTATTTTAGCGCAATTACTCATTTGGCGGTGACGGTGTTTCTCCCCTGCTGGACGATTATATCCGGTAACGACCTACACGACGGCTTGCGAAGGTTTTCTCCCTTCAGGTATCTCCCACCAGCGAAACACCGTACAAATCCGTCTTCCGACTAGCCTATCGATACGAATAGTAGTGTAATGTACATATGTGTTACTCGAGTAATGCATGTCATTATAAATATAAAATTGCACGTAAATGTGACACCCAAAAAAATGTTGTAGCGCAATAAAAATACAATATGTGTTTTAAATTTAAGGCAACGTACTAGTAAGAGTTAGACGTACGGTACAAGTCAATGTTAAATGTAGTAATTCCTTTCATTTTGATGGAAAGAGAGGAGATTTTACTTCCGTATACTCGTTTGAATTAAGGGGGACCAGTAGCATTGGCAGTATCAACCGAAGATTTTACATATAGTATACAGTATTACATAATTTTATTCCACAGCAAATGCCAAAGATTATATTTTCGTAACAATTTTTGTAAAGGAAACACATTATCGAAGGAAATCGATTACTTGTCCCCTACGACTTGACCTCAATCATAGAACAAAAGAGATTCCAACTTTTCTGACGTGCATCTACATTTTGAATGGTGTTTTCGATATTTTATAACAACGGATCAATCGAACGCTTTCTTTTACAATCAAACAAAAAATTAGAGGTCACGGGTAGCAAGTCTGAACGAAATAAATAATTCCATTTGAACTTCCACGCGACGATTATTATTAAATCATGGAAAAAGTGGGAATCAATCATTCACGGAGGCGTGTCGACAAGACTCATTTTAAGGGGATAATTGAAAGCACAGTTTTTAAGCAAACAATTCCCAAATGGGTGTCGAATCTTCAAAATACTCTCCGATTCTCTTTGAAAGTGACTTTTTCACTCCCCCTGATATTTCGTCGGGGCACGTGATGGAGACGATGTCAAGATTACGTTACGACATCTAGTGGATGACTTGTCAAGTTCAAAATTGGAATAACATTGATCGCACTTCCTTGAATGATTCTGCTGCGAAATTTATTACCATTTTCCTGCAATAAAAATTACTTTAAAATGTTCATAAGAATACCTAATAGCTTTATTTCTATGAAATATTATTAAACTATACTCGTAAAGTAAAATGATAAAGCTTATTAGTTTCTTGAAAATTGAGTTTTCTATTCAATATTTTTTTCTTACATTCTCAGTGATATCGTAATGTTTTCTTAAGTGCATATTATTACCAATCTCAGAAACCCCATCGTGCTTTATTACAATCAGCGGTGATTTCTTTTTATTTTATTGTAAACGTAGGTACGTGGGGACGGTCATAGCTAACAGTCGAATTATTAACCACGTGGTTATTTCACTCTTTTGACGCATACTCTCGTTAATTCTTAACACATTCCATGAATTAAAAATACCGTGGTGTCTCAATTTAAATGTCTAAAAACCAGGATTGGTGGCTCGGGGCATCTCTTGATGTCACTGCATTCAAGTCTTGTCAAACATTTAAATATAAATATAGTTTTAGGCTAGGAAATGAATCTGAGTCATAATCAATTTTTCACTTCTGTGTTCCTTTTATTGGATCATACTCATGTTCATAGTGAAATGATTTGAAGTAAAATGTATGTAATATACCTTCATTATCTCCCTATAAAAATAATAATAATAATAATGAATGAGATAATAATAATAATAATAATAATAATAATAATAATAATATCATTCTATCCCCCCTAATTAAATATTCAATCCTAAACAACCTGTCTTAACTGAGAGATGCAGGCTGAAAGCTGATGCAAATAATTCCACACGTTGATCTCCCCAGTATAGGAATAAAACTGGCTCTCGGAGAAAAAAAATGTGTTGCATGGTCAGTAGTGGCCCAAAGACAATAATGTAATATAATAAAATATAATATAATATAATATATAATATAATATAATATAATATAATATATAATATATATAATATAATATAATATAATATAATATAATATAATATAATATAATATAATATAATATAATATAATATAATATATGAAATGATATATGATGTGATAGAATAGAATAGAATTCTTTTACCCCAAAATATAATATTATGATTAAATATATGTAACATAACAATATATGTAACAAACACTATAACATGATATGATTAAATATTATGATTTTGCGTGGGGATTATTTTATTAGTTGTATTTAGCTTTATTAGTTTAATAAGAATGTTGATTTGTGGAAACAAAGGTATACGATAATTAGTATATTAGGCTATTAATTATAATGATTTTATTTGTAAGTTATCTTTTGTTGTTTTATTTTAAATATCAATAGTAATGTTTTTTTGGGTTGTTTGTTTGTATTAATGATTATGTAATTTTTTTGAAAAAAATGTAATAAATAATAATAAAAATAAAAATAATAATAATAATAATAATAATAGTAATAATAATAATAAAAATAATAATAAATATAAATAAACAAACAAACAAGTAAATCACACTCACCGGCTTCCTGACGGGCAGGGCCTGGTGGGCGCCCTGGAACGCACCAAGCCGGGCATGCTGGGCATGATCGGGAAGGCGCTGCCGGTCATCCACCGCCAGCCCGCGCACGCCTTCATGACGGCGACGGCCCACCAGATCCTCTTCGGCGGCGTCCCTGTCAGCTGCGACGTGAGCGACTTCAGCGCCAAGGCCGTGTGCGGCGCCCTCAAGAAGGACGGCAAGGACTTCCACTGGGTCAGCGACAAGGAGTTTACATTCTCCTTCTTCGGACACGTGAGTACGACCGGCCGGTGTTTGTCGAGAAAAAAAAAGAGAAAAGAAAAAAAGGAAAATAAAAGAAAAAAAGAACTTGTGGTGCTAACAGAGAGAAAGTTTGCGTTTTGTCTGCTTGATATTTCTGGCTACTTGACAGCTAGCAGCTGAAAGGAGTGAGGTCCAGCACTTCAAATTCTAAAGAAAAAAAAATAAAGAAAATAAAAAAGAACTTATGGTGCTAATAGAGAGAAGGTTTGCGTTTTGTCCGAACGATATTTCTGGCTACTTGACAGCTAGCAGCTCACAGGGGTGAGAGGTTTCCCTTATCTAACCCGAGACCTTAAAATTCTAATTTTGTCACTGCAAACGTGCCGATTCTTATTAAGAAAAAAAAACTAAATCCAACAGCGCGAAACCCCTGAAACTTGAAGAGCGCTATTACTTCTTTGGTTTGCATCTTTCGTTTGGCTTCTTTGGTTTGGTCGTGTTCCGTGTCATCTGCTGTTGTGTGCTCTTAATGCAATTTGTTTCTTCCTGCTGCTGCTGTGATGTAATGTGAGAAAGACCACATGTCTACAGAACACCACCATTCACGAAACTTGCAAATTGTTTATTATTTAGAAAAGAAATTAACTTATTTGTTCACAAATGTAAGGTAGTTTTTCCATTCTGAACGAATATATTCATTTCTTTTGTAAATAATAAATAATTTGCATGTTTCGGGAGTGTTTATATGTTTCTGAAATGCAAATTTTTGCATAGAAAAAATTTTTTGTAAACCTTTGAATGCTTATTGTCGATCAGCCATTCGGAATGTCCAAGAATTTTATTTGACAAAATATGCTTAAAGTGTCTTAAGAACTTCTTTCCGAAGTTTTGATGTTTCCTCCCTGGACACCCTGTGTGTGTGTGTGTGTGTGTGTGTGAGAGTGTGTGTGTTTGTGTTTGTGTGTGTGTATGCAGGGTGTCCAGGGAGGAAACGTTTATAATTTGCAAATAAGCTCTCAAGACAATTTTATGTATATTTGACTAACAAACTACAGAGATATTCCGAATGGTTGAGCCGCAATAACCTCTCAAAAGTTGGTTTGAAAGAATGCTTTTTAAGCAAACAATCGCATTGAAGAAGAATCGAACCGCTCCAGAAACGTAAATTGTTTTTGTTTACAAAAGAGATTATTATAAGAGTTCAGAAAGAAAAATTGACACAGATATAAAAAGCCACTCAATTTACACAATTCGACCGCTTTTTAATTTGTGTTAATTTTTCTTTCTGAATAAATATATTCATTTATTTATACTGTTATAACGTGACTACTTTCTTCACAGTATAATTTGCTTTGTTTAAATTGAATGAACTACGTTCCAACATAAGAAAACATTTCATTTTTGACTTGATCCCTTTCCCCATATATATATATATACATATATCTACATATATACATATATACATATATACATATATACATATATACATATATACATATATACATATATGCATATATGCATATATACATATATAACTGTGTTAATTATATTCCACACCACATTCCACTAGCAGTTTGTACCGTTTATTCCAAGATGCGTGCACACTAAAAGCCTTTTGTTTTTTGAGATGAAAACACTGGCTTGTTGGCTCCGCAGAAGAACAACACGCTGGACCCTCACCGCCTGGAGGTGAAGCGCGGCATCCAGAACATCGCCGACCTCGGACGGGTCGTCTCGTGGAAGGGCGAGCCCAAGATGGCGGTGTGGCGCGGCGACCCCTGCAACTCCTTCCAGGGCACCGACTCCACCATCTTCCCGCCCTTCCTCAAGAAGGAGGACGGCATCGTGGCCTTCGCCCCCGACCTGTGCAGGTGCGCCCCACCCCCTCCCTCATTGAATCGTTCAGTTCAGGAACCCGTCAAACGTGTAGGTTGAGGCTGCGAAATAATGCTTAGATGAATTGGGAGAGCATTCGCAGAAACTGCAACGAACATCGTCTTCTAGTATGTTTTCATCAGACGAGAGAGTTCTGGAAAAGAAGCGACACGTAATTAACAAAGAGTATTACTTTGCTGAAAGAATAATTGAGTTTTGAAGAGATTGTCATGGTTATCTCCCTCCGGACGAAAATAAACGTTTTCCTTACGAGTTTTACGAACGTCGCCTTCTATGTTTTCATCAGACGAGCGAGTTCTGGAAAAGAAACGACGCATACTTAACAAAGATTATTACTTTGCCGAAAGAATCATTGAGTATTGAAGAGATCGTCATGGTTATCTTCATCCGTTCGAAAATAAACATTTTCCTTACGAATTTCATGCTTGGTGCTTACAAACGCTCGCCGCGTATTGACGTTTGAGGTCGTAGACTGCAGAAAGGTGCTGACAATTGCCTGGCAGCGCGCCGGAACGAACTTTCAACACATTTCACTTAGATTCTGTGCACGATGGCCACGAAACTGCGGCTCTTCTGATTTTCATGACAAAGCGAGCTCGCCGCGTCTCTTGTGGAAAAATATGGATTCCGAGAAATCTGACAATGAGTAAATCTTTCGTCGCAGCCTCCGAGGAGGTGACGCGATCTATGGGTGGTTCTTCAACTAATAGAAAGCAGTTAACAATCGATGTCAAAAAACTTTGTACAAAAGAAATGAGTATTTGGTCGACCGGGAAGAAATTCTCGCAGCTTTTTTGAGCAAAATTAGAAATCTCCTAAGAGGGAAGTTTTAAACGTATGATCTTTTCTTCTTAAATGCCTTCAAAGAGCTGCGGAACTGAGCTGTTCAAAGCGTGACGCCAAATTTGAATTAATTAGGCGGTCAATGTGCCAACAGCCAAATTCCTCATTTCGAGAAAGTCTCCCAATTTTTCAGATCTCAAAATATTTTTTATATAATAAAGCTGTTGATAAATTAATACTTTTCATATCAATATGCAACCAAATAATGTGTCTATCCTCTTATAAAAATTCATCGCTAATGCGTGTTTTAGATTTTGACGTTTGGCGGGTTTCTGAAATTAACGATTCAATTTATGTCGCTGCAGTGCCTATGGCTGGAAGGCCCTTACAGTGCCGGCAGCGTATGAACGACTCTGACAGTTTGCTCGCCACACGCTCTGGTACGTCATGTGACCTACTCTGAAGCTGACGCGGCTCCACGAGGAGGGAAATGAGGAGAAATCCCCCCCACCCTAAACTTTTTCAGTAACTATTAATTTTAATTTTTCACGAAACTCTCGAACAAAAATATTTTCGGATTATCATCATTCAAACGAATGAAAGAGTATCGCACTGTGAATTGAGTGTAGCCTGCGACATTTTACAAAATCTGTAATATGGCACATGAGACCAAAACATTTTTAGTTTCCCCTCCCAAAATGTGCCTCTGGATCTGCCTGTTTTTGAACTAATCAGCTTGCTTTCGTTTACTTATTCGTTTACTTTCTCACAGCCAGGGTTCAGCGTTGCCTGTCATCTGACTCGCACTAAGTTGCGGAGGCGATAAAATTCGGCTTTGGCAAACGTTATGAACCTGACATCATGATGTGTCATAGACTGTCACTAAGTTTTAATGATTTGATATTTAATGTACGTGTGATGCAGGAGGTTGTATGTGTGTAGTAATATGTGGCAATAGCGCATTGAACTGTCAGTGTCACTTATTGACTGCCAATTCTTTAGGATTTCATTACCGACGGTGGTTGGTGATTCATTACTAATGATTCCGGACTAATAGGTTTATTTTCTTTAAGCACCTTCAGGAATCCATATGCTTGGGGCATTCAGGTAGATGTTGCATACATCTCTCCGAAGATTATTTTCTGATCTAAAGATACGTCTCACTCCCCTTAATCCAATATCGAATAAATTACAAGACATCATAAAGAGATGACCTAGTCTTGAAATAATTCATGAGAAACTCTTCAAAGAAGTTCATCCAACATCTACCTGCATGCCTCAAGCACATGGATTCCTGACGATACGTAAGAAAAGTAAACCTATTACACCTGAAGGGTCATCTTATTAATTCACCACAACACACCTCCCGATCTGCGACGCTGTCTAAAATTCGGCAATGCTTCCACTGAGCTATCGCAGCCGGTTAAAAAAAGTAAATAAAAATTTAAAAAATAAAAAAATAAAAAATAATAAAGTAAAATTAATAAAATTAAAAATTAATACAAATAAAATATTAAAAACTGAAAATTAAAAATTAATGTTCTTTAAATGTAAATATCTTTGGTTAATTTAAAAAGAAAACAGCAAGTAACAGCGTTGTGGCGCGCAGGTCGATCGCGGCGACGTACGACCGGGACATCGTGCACGAGGGCATCCCCGGGAGGCGCTACACAGCGGACTTCGGCGACCAGAGCTCGGTGCCCGACGAGAAGTGCTTCTGCGCGGCCGAGGACCAGTGCATGAAGAAGGGCGCCATGGACCTCTTCCCTTGCGCAGGTGGGGCACCCGCCTGCGCTCGCCCTCACAGTAGACTTTGGCGAAGTGCTCTTTTTTTGGTTATTGTTACAATTGTATGGCTTTTGACAATACTTCTGGGGTCGCCTTCACAGTAGACTTCGGCAAAGTGCCCTTTTTTGGGTTATTGTTACTGTTTTATGGCTTTTGACAATACTTCTAGGGTTGTTTTAGTAGAACTTTTTTTTTTTAAAATTATGCTTTATATAATTGGGAGCAAGAACTTCCAGGTCATTAGCGACCAAGTCGATTTTTGTTTTGCCTTTTTGGTCTATTTAAGCTTCTAATGCCTGTTTTCATTTTGCCTTATTTTAGCCTTTTACCTCATTATTAGAAGATTTTCATTTTACCTTTTTGCCTATTTTAGCGTCTGATGAATATTTTTGCCATTTTGCCTTTTTTCCTAATTAGTTTGCTTATTGTTTGCTCCTGGCACCGATTGCAATCAAGTTATGTGTGTCTGTGTGCATGTGTGTGTCTGTGTGCGTGTATGTGTGTGCGCGTGTATGTGTGTGTGCGCGTGTGAGTGTGTGCGTGTATGTGAGTGTGTGCATGTATGTTGTGTGTGTATGTGTGTGTGCGTATGTGTGTGTGCGTGTATGTGTGTGTGCGTGTATGTATGTGTGTGCGTGTATGTGTGTGTCTGCGTGTTTGTGTGTGTACGTGTATGTGTGTGTGTGTGCGTGTATGTGTGTGTGCGTGTATGTGTATGTGCGTGGTCGTGTGCGTGTGCGTGTTAGTGTACCTGAAAGCATAAGGCAAGGTGGTGTTTTGTCTTTCTGTGGAAGCAGTCGCTGCGATATAAGTCTGAATGGAAAACGAAGATGATACCAAAGAAGATTTTTCATTGAAGCCGTCAGGCTTTGTTCGCTCTCGAGCAATCCCATTCTACTTTTGAGAATGACCACCAATCTTTTTGCGGACAGCTCTCTATATATGATACGTCCTTCTCAGTGTTGGCGATAACACAAGAGCGAAAAACGAAAAATATAGTAATTCCGTTTTCACTGACGGGTTTTCAAGATTCGAAAGGGAGTTCACAATAACGCTTTGAAGAGACAGCGTTGCCAGTAAAATAAATTCTTAACCATCGTACCGCGTGGTCATGCGGAATCAACAAAACAAAGAAAATATCATTTTCTCACACGTTAAGTGAGGAATGTAAATTTTAGAGTTTGAATAATTGTAAATATTATTTTTTTACAATTCCTTTTACATATTAATTTTCATTTTTTTGTACCTTTACTTCAGCTAGAATAAACACCTTTTTGAAAGCCTAATTTGGTAAAAATAAATGCCTATTTGCCTGTCTATTTTAGGTAGAATAAATGCCGGAACTTGCGTATTATTAATGCCAGGCGCGTCCACTACTGAAATCATTAGTTCCTTAAGAGTAGTGCTACTTATGTCCGAACTTTACTTACTACTTGTGACGGGGGCGTCAACTATTAAAATAATTTGTTCCGTAAGTGTAGTGTATATTTTTATCTCGGGGGTGGTGAAGGTAAAGAGCTGGATGGCAAGATCCGGTGCCGATATCGACGTCGGCTGGCGGTGTTTTCCCCAACCAGGTATCTCCCATCGGCGGAAAACCGCTCCCGCCGGGACAACAACTCTACGCTCTCGACTGGACTCCCGGTATGTGTGGTTGTGTAGTACATGTAAAATCGCACGTGCGGTAGTGGAGTGTATGAGCAACCTATATGTCAAGTGGATGTCCATTGCAACTCGCAACGAATTAATTACGGCGACTGAGTTCGACTGCCACCACGGCACTCAAAGGTCCATTGATTTTAAACAGTTTTTTTTCAAACGTTGATCTGTCATTCACGAAGACTGCACATAAAGGCATTGGAGATTTATTACATTTTAAGAGGTGCTTTACTTAAACATTCTATATTTTTACCATGTTCAGTTCATCAGAAATTTCGCCTATCGGCACTCCGCGGATCACCGCATAAAAGTTATTGAGTGATGAACTTGTGATACTGGCACTTAATCTGGACGAGAATGTGAATAGTTTTTCTGAAAACATCTACTGAATCAAGCTTTTCGTTATATTTGGATGGTAAAATTATATGCAATCTACGAGTTTTTTTTATAGTTTGTTATTTCATGAATAAAATTGGGGATGGTTTTTTGTTCACAGGCTCTTAATGGTCGGTGGAAAGATGGGGATTTTCCTCGCGATCTTCATCTGTCTCATTCTCGAACAAGGCAAATATGTTCTTGATTGTTACACTCATTTCGCTGGGGGGGGGGGGATTACTTTAGCGCCGTTTGCCTGAAGGTTGCTGAGAGTCCGTTTTCTCGGGTTTTAGATTAATACTTGAGCGTTGGTGTTGACGGTTGACTTTTGGAAGAATTGCGGAAACATTTGGAACGGAGTGTCCTAGGGGGGCTTTGGATTTGATCACTATGTAGCACTGTGATAACTTTTGAGCGCGAGTAGAATTCACCACAGCATTGAGTAAGTTGCGGCTTATGTAATGGGTCATTACATAATAGAATTCAAGATATGCAGACCAGAAAAAGAAGAACAAGTGTTACAAAAAAACTTCGGAACTCAAAATGACGACCCAGTAGTTTAAGGATAATAAAAGTGTAGGGTGTACAACCTGCCTTGCCCTCAGGGTCAAATACTGGCCTCACGGCAGTTGAAGAGGTTAACTGAACCTTCTTGTCCTACGGGTCAAATTGACCTCACGCCAGTAAAGGTGTAAACCGAAACTCCTTGCCCTCGCAGCGTCAAACTACCCGACGCCAGTAAAGGGTTAAGCTGACACACTTTCTGCGCCGTTGGGTCAATTTCGACCTCACGCCTAGTCAAAGCGGTTGCTAAACCGAACCGACTGCCTTGTCCTTCGCGGGTCAAAACTTCGACCCGCACCCCGCAGTAAAAGGGTTAACGGACAGCTTTCTTGCCCTTGGGTCAAATTGACCTCACGCCATAAGAGGGTTAACTCGAACTTTCTTGCCCTCGGATCCAAGATTGGACCTCACACAGTAATTGGTAGTAAGCTGAACTTCTTTCCCTCGGTTCCAAAGGACCTCACACCATAAAGGTTAACTGTAAAATCTCCTTGCCATTGGATCAAATTGACTCCACGCCCAGACGGTTAGCGTTTAGGTAGAAGCGCGTTTTGCAGAGATTGTCGCTTTGCAACCCCCCTATCTACTTCGCTCCACAGGCACATGCCCATACATCTATTGACCAGGTCACCTCGCAGATTCATGCAAAAGCCTGTTAATCCGACGCGCTGCGAGATTGAACGCACCTCCTCCACCCAGAAAGAGCGGCACGAGGCGTGGGCACGTTGGCCACAGACGCCACCTTCTTCCACCGGGTGGCATCGGACAGGCTGAACTGCAAAGCGCCTTGCGCGCCTCCAGCGGTGTTCCCGGTGATGCGCGCACAACGACACGAGAGTAGTGTGAGTGACGAAGAGAGAAGAGAGAAGAAAGAGAGAAGCGAGAGAAAGACGAGAGAGGGACGATGATACCCAATTAGGGGAGAGGGAGAGAAGATAAATAGAGAGAGAGGGAAGAAAGAGAAGGAAGAGGAAAGAGCGAGAGAGGGAGAGAAAGAGATGAGAGGCGAGAGAAGAAGAGGAGAGAAAGAGAGAGAGGGAGAGAAAGAGACATGAGAGGGAAGAAAAGGAGCAGAGAGGAAGAAAGAGGAGAGAGGGAAGAAAGAGAAGAGGAGAGAAAGAGAGAGAGGGAGAGAAAGATAGAGAGGGAGAGATAAATAGGGAAGAGAGAGGCGCGAGAGTAAGAGAAGCAGAGAGAGAAAGAGAGGAGCCGAGCAGAAGAGACGAGAGGTGACTGAGAAAGGAAATGAGGGAGAGACAAAGAGAGAGGGAGAGAAAAGAGAGAGGCACGAGAAAGAGAATGACGAGGGAAGAAGGAGAGAGTGGAGAGAGAGAAGAGAGAGAGAGAGAAAGAGGAGAGAGGGAGAGAAAGAAGAGAGGAGAGAAAAGAGAGAGGAGAGAAAGAGAGAGAGGAGAGAGAAAGAGAGAGAGGAGAGAAAAGAGAGGGAGAGGAAAGAGAAAGAGGGGGAGATATCACAAGAGGGAGAGATATATAAGAGGGAGAATCATATAAAAGAGATAAATAGGAGAAGAGAGAACGTGAAATGAGAGAGGGAGAGAAAGAGAGCCGAACAGTGAGAAAGAGGGAGAGGAAAGAGAGAGGCGTGAATAAGAGCGAGAAAGAAAAGAAGGTGAGAAAAGAGGGAGAGAAAGAGAGAGCCGCGGGAGAAATAGAGAAAGAAGAAAGGGAGAAAAGTGCCCAATTATGAACAGATTCCTTGCAAAAAAAAGTTTATATAATGCCTGATATATAAAAATAAACATTTTTGGCGCTGTCGTTCGCCTTGTTCTGTCCCTTTGTTTTGCTGCTTTGGGTAATGTATCTGAATCTGATGTTTGCCAAATAAAAAAGCATTTCTTCGACAATACTCGAAGTTATAACCAAAAAACATGAAAAAATAACTTTATTTAATTTTATTGCAAATATTCTAAAAATTAAGTATCGAATTTGAGCACAAAATTACTTCAATACCAAAAATTATTCTCTAAATTCCAAATTTCCTACACATTTAGTTCCTACCAACAGTTTTACGCCACCGGTTTACAGATAAGTGATAGTTCAATTGAAAAATTTTTGCGCAGCTTACTGCTTGTCAACCTTATGTTGAACTTACCTTAGCTTGTCAACCCTTTGGCAAAACACATGGCAAATAATTCAATGACATTTCGTTTTCTATAGTTTCTCTTGGAGTATGGTATATGCGCCGTGAGTTATTTCCTTGCATTAACAAACGTCTTCAATTGATAAAATTGTAAAATCGGTGGTTAATATTCTCCGAAAGGCGGATTTGCATGAAAGCGCTCTATGATGTTTTAAAAAAATCGAAAGTTCAGTGAAATATTGTGAAAGGATTAGTAATTGTGAAGTGCTTATTTAAAGGCTTTCTTCAAAATATATAAATTTTCCCCACAAAAAAAAGAACCATTTCTAATTAACACAAGGGAGCCGAATCCTTTTGTAGTTGATCTGGCATACGTAATTAGCCAAAGATCCCACACCATTTAATATTTAAGTACTATTGAGACGTGAACATACAAATTTATTTGCAGTTAACTGTTCTGCACGTTTTGTGTGTAGATAATTTTCATTTTTTTATTAAGGTTGATTAGGGCAACTATATTTAAAACATTCCGTGAAATTTGGGATTCTTCTTGCTGGGACACTGTTGGCCGACGATCCATGTTAATTAGAAGAACTAGTTCATATTCATATGTTAAAATTTATCTTCATCCCACAAAATACTAAAATAAGATTGCAACGTGTTTGTTGGTCGCACCCCAGAATTGTCAGAGAACCCTGGAGTTTCTATTTAGCGATCAGACATGGCGCGACTATTACAATTAGTTTTTTTAAACACTGATAAAGTGTGATAAGACTTTCACTAGTAAGTTCTATGAAAAGTATAACTTATGAAAATTTTCTAAACTGAAATAGTAACTCTGCTTTCCAAACAGCGATATTGGGAATAAACTACAAATAGAAAAAAAATCCTAAATATAAACGGCAAAAACTACCAGTGCGAGGCCATTTTTATACCCCTCCGCTTTTTGGTGCTGTTAACAGGAGAAAACTATACTTTTTACTGATACTGTCCTATAGCTTGCTCTTCTATAGCCTCGATACGGAGCACTCGCCTAACTTTACCTAGATGGAAAGATCGTGATATACGAGAGAAATCTGAAATACATTGAATGATTCTGTAGTACGTGATCTCACCAGAAAAAAATATTGACACACAGTGTCGCATACATCTTTGCAACACTGCCTCAACATTTTCAATTATAAATACTTAATAAAAAAACATCTTTAGGTATACATCACCGGCTCGAAGTTAAGCTCAGTATTTATTGTTTGGCTTGCGCAAGTTTCCAAGCCTTTCTACTCCTTTTTGGTATCTTCCATGAGCGCAGGTAGAAACTGTAGGCAAGTGTTAGCGACAACTGTAGTGAACTGGAAAAACAGGACGACGCCTGTTACGTACAAAGAATAAGTTCTCTAGTCGTTCTGGTGGACCCCCTCCACTCTGCTTGCAGTCTAAACTCAAAAAGTGAGTGACGTTTTACTTAAATACTCCGATTTATAAACGTACTGCACTTCACAAGGTCCACTCAAGCTGACGGCGGAGGGAGACCTTGTCATCCCAATCGGGAAGCTTCGGATACGACTGAAAGTTTTTGTACTGAGAATCTCCGATTGGAGAAATGTTTCTCGCTCTCCTTTCCAGTTCTGGACCTTGAATACCACATGTTTAAATCGCGAGAATAGTTATGGTCTTGCTTTGACAAATATGTTCCCACTGCTGCACAGCAACTATATCGTAGTAACTTTAAGTGTACTGTTTTGTCTGATGGATTTACCCTTTGAATTACCTGGCAATTTCCATTTTCATTATCAACATCGAATTTTCTTCGATATTTTCTTTCTTTTCTACGGCAAATTTGCCACTTATTTACGCCCACCGAAGCCGATCCGTCATGATCGAGTTTTTTTCTGTGTTGGTGCGTTAGACAAAGATCGATCTACAAGATTCTCGATTCTATGAAAAATAACGTCTATAATAGTTCATTCTTTTCTTTTATATTGGACGATTTGGGAAATCCTTACCGTTTACCCAATCACATACTAAACATGTTTCGAAAATCAAAATAAATAGAATTCCTATTCTTTTAGCACGACTTACGCATGAAATAACCATAAATAACTTTCATATAACCAATCGAAAGTTGTCAACAATAAGACTCTGTTTGTTATTGATATTTTTTCCATTGTTCCTCCCCCTTCAATGCATGGCTATTACGCGTTCTTTTTAATTTTAACGCGAAAATTTCCAAAAACTATTTTTCGTTCATAATTAACACATACTATTGTCGCTAGCACGAACTTCCCTGGTTCGAATCCCCAGCGTTCTTGGCCCGTTTCGTTATCGCAGTCATTTAAATTCCTTCAATCCATCCAATTCCAATCTTGCAGCTCCTATCTTTCCACGCTCCCAGTTTTCTCTCTTTCCACTTATAAACATCTTTACAATATAATACTTTTAAACCAATTGATATGTTTACAAACTCAGAAGAACAACTCCGTACAATTGATCATCCCAAGACGACCATTTACGTTCTGCCTCCGAGACTGCTCTCTTCGGTGTTTTTTGTTTTGTT